GGCCAACACACACACATATAAACGATTTAGCACCACAACACTCAAACACACACACACATCTTTAATTCACTCCCCCTTTATAACAACAACAATAATAATAACAATCAAAATAATAAAATGATTCATTGYTCTAAACAGAAAAATGGGATTTTGCACAATCTGATTGTGCACATGGCTTTATTATTCAACATTAGCTGCCTAAGAGAACACAAAGAGGAAGACATATGTATGTTTAACCCATAGCAATTCAGCTCGTATTATTTCAAAAAAAATATAATATTAGATTAAAAAAATTCCAATTTCTTATCAGTTCCTGGGTTTTTATTTGACTCATTTATTTATTTTTCTCTTCTTTTTTCCACCGCGCAGGTTTTGTGTGCACATGCAGCTCATGCTAACGTCCCCAGCTTCAGACACAGCGAGGCAGATAATAGATGGAGCCCGAGCAGAGCACGCTGTCTCTCTCTTAATTCGCCATAATAGCGCAGGAGGCAACAATCTGTTCAAAAACCCCGGACGCCTTTTCATCGCGTAAATACGAAGCCGGTGAGCTTTGAGGGTGGAGGGAAGGAGAAGGAGGGGGGGGTGTCTGTATTTTTTTTAATTATTATTCTTATGTTTTATTGTTATTATTATATTACTGCGAAKATATGTTGAGCTGCATGTAAATACACCGCCATATCCCCCCACCACCCGTCTCGACCACAACACAGAGCGGCTCCATTGCTCCGCTCCTGACGCACACCCTTGAAGGGGAAAAGAACAGACCATGGTGGGCGACATGATAAGTGTTTTGGGAGCCTACGGCACACACACGCACGCACGCACACGCACATAGAAAATAAGAAAAACAAGAAATCCCAATACCTTCCCGTCTCATGCCGACCTTAAGGCATTTCTTGAGGCGGCAGTACTGACACTGATTGCGGTGGTGCTGGTCGATTGGACAATTCCTGTTGGCACGGCACGTGTAGGTGAGGTTCCGTCGCACGCTCCGCTTGAAGAAGCTCTTGCAGCCCTCGCAGGTGAACTGGCCGTAGTGCTTGCCGCTGGACTTGTCCCCGCACACCACGCACTCGATGTGCTGCGGCTGCTTCTCCGACTGCTGCGTCGTCTGGTTCGTCGGGGTGGACTGCGCGTTGTTCGGGGGTCCCTGCACCGGGGTCTGAGGGGTCGGAGCGGCGATCTGGGAGGCTGTCAGGCTCAGCTGGCCCGGCTGCGGGGTGGCCAGGGACAGTCCTCCCTGGGTTTGCGAGGAAAGGGCGCCTTGGGTGTCAGCCACATCGTCCTGGGAGCCTCTCCACGCTACCATTGCCATATCTATCAGTCAACGGATAGAAACTTTTTGTCTGCCGTTTTGGTGTCGCGGTGTGTGAAGGTCTGGAGGAAAACGCTGCGAACAGGGACTAACAAGCCCGGACACCGATCAAGCACCGCCGAACGCTGGGTTCACTCGGGATCGTCGCGAAAACTGGTTTTATTGCTGTTTGGAGACGCTGGGAGGCACGTTCTTCTCCTTCTTCTTCCTCTTCTTCTTCTTTTTCAGAACTGATGCGATGGCGAGCGGAGCGGCTGCCTTGCGCTTAAAGGCCAAGTCCAGGGGCGCTTACAGTCAGCCATCCAGTACGCCCATCAATGAGGAAAGGTGGCTTAAATATTTCAAAAAGAAACAACCGAGGTAACATGGACCGTTCAGGGGAGGATGGAGCAGGCTGAGAAGACCGCTCCCCACAGCAGCAGCAGCAGCAGCAGCAGCAGCATGAAACGATTGGTGAGCAGCTTAATCTCAAGTTCCAGCACAAGTCTTGGAGAAAACTAAGCAAAGAAAAAAAGAAAAGCTTCCCCTCTTTTTTTTTTCACCCTCCTCGTGAGGTTTTGCGCCAGAAAAGCGCGCAGATGAAGCCAAAATGGTTTGGAGAGCTTGGGAAATATGAAGGCAACTCTCCCCCCGGCGCAAAAAATAATAATAAAAACCCCACTAAAACAAACAAAAAATACAATAAAGATCACAACCTGCAAAAAAACAACAACACCCTTCTTCCGTGCGCTGAGAAAGAATCGGAGAAGGGAATCAAAGTGATCAAATATGTTAAAAAGGCGGAGGTTAGGAAGTGATTTGCGATTGGTAGGAGCCGGGCTGGCAGAATGCTTTCTCTCTGATCAGCTCACTGAGCTCTCTATATAGTGAACTTTGACACGACTGCTGCAACTTAGCACACGTTACCATGGAGACGGGCTGCCATATAAGGAAGGAGAGTGTGTTTGACTGGTCAGAGCTCGGGGACCTCCCCCTGAACCCTATTGGCTAGTCGGCACTTGTGCTACTTGGTCCTTTGCCAGAGAGCCGGCGCGGAGGTCGAGAGGGCCGCTTGGTCCTAAAAGAAGACGTGTTCAGAATTTTTTTTCTCCCCTTATTTTCCCTCAAATCGTCCAGACTGTGAAAGAGATAAAAACAAGCCTGTAATCGCATTTGCACGAAAAAAAGAAGAAATAAATCAAAAAGGGAGATGATTTTTATTCATATTGCGCCGCAGCTGTATCAGTTTGCAATATAAACAGGCTGCCTGGGACRAGCTGCAGGAATTGTCTACTTTTCAGGCTTGAGTGGGACATAAAGACATGAACAAAAAACACACTCACACACACACCTGAGGAAATAAGAAGTCAGACCCACTGTATGAGACTCTTATTTCAAGATAATTGCAAGAAAGCAACACATAAAACTGCATAAATAGTTCCCTTTGTTATTAACATTTGATTTATTTTAAGCTCTAATATGTTTTTTACAAGCTGCAGATTATTTATAAGGACAKAGACTAATCTAAAAAGGTGATTTTTGTGCGCCGAAGCTTATACCGTAAAACCTCAAACAGGTATTTTTTTATTAAAAAACAAAACCACAACAAAAGCCACACCTTTCATTATGATTTTTTTTGTATAAACYTTTTGACAATAGATCCAGGTTTAAGAATAAAATTGCAGTGAGGGATGCTGTGCACGTTAAAGGGTGTCAGTGGTTATTTAGAGTTTTTAAATTTCTTTTGAAATGGCACAAATCTGCTGTTTTTTTTTTTGTCCGTGCACGCTGCAGGCTGTCAAACCTGAACTGCAGGTAAAAAAAAATAAAAAAATAAAAAGAACTTTCAGACATGAACTTACAGCCAGGTCAGTGTGTTAGCCGACAGAGAGCTCATCCTCCTCCCTCTCCTCCTCCTCCTCCTCCTCCTGCTCTTCATCCTCAGCAGCGTGCATTGTCTCAGGGTGTATTACAGTATATGGCTGCCCCCTAGCGCATGAAATGTTTTCGCCTCGAATAAGATCCAATCTAGAGGAGCCATCCGACACGGAGAGAGCCTCATTCTCGTCTCTCGCACCGAGCAGCACTTTAAACTGATGGCTGTTTTTAATTCTGTTAAACATCACTTGGACGGAACAGCTCAGTGAGAGAGAAAGAGAAAGTTGCCAAAGTTGGATTTTTTAAAATTATTATTATTATAATCGATACTACTATTCGGTGCCAGCGGTGGTATTTTATTTAAACTAAATCAAATCTCATTCTAAAAGCAAATTAGTCCGATTATATTTTAAATACATGATTATTTTTGTGTGTCGGTTTTGTTTACAGATCCCGGGAACGTGGGGATTTTTAATCTTCTGCAAGGTGTCGACTTTTCAGATCCGGTTTTGCTTAAAGAAATCGTAAGTATTTCTTTTTTTTTTTTTAATATATTGCCGCTTAAGTTCTCGACTCTCTATATTTAAATACGTGGGGGGGGGAAATGTACTGGTTTTGCAGCAAAAGTCCCTAAAATACACATCCTATACGGTGCGCAACGACCGATCATTCTCCCTCACCGTTTGTTCATTAATGAGCCRAACAAGCCCAAAGTATAGAGCATGGTAAAGTTGTGTGATATAGTGAGAGTGAGGAAGGTTGGAGACTCGGAACAACAAACCTACCAAACGCATAGGCTGCTGACTCGTCCGTGGCGGGATGCATCTTCTCGCTCTCTCTTTCTCTTATTCAGAGTGTTTTAAAGTCTTCTGCGGGGTTTTTTGGGCTCAGGACTTGAAGCTGCCAAAGCTTCCTCTCCGACAAGACCAGTGGGGTGGTGGTGGTGGTGAGGGAGGNTTTGTTTTTCTTTGTTTTTTTTACTGTCTGTGTGTTGAAGAAAAAGCCTCAAAACAAGGACAAAACGCAGCTTCCACAAACACACACACACACATTCTCTTTCACACACAGAAGCATTCACGCGCGCGCACACACACCACGGCACCTGTCAAAGACATAAAAAGGAGCAATAACACTAAAGTTAAAATATCAGCTCCTTTTTTTCTTCTTCACTTCTTCCTCAAAAAAAAAAAAGAAACTTGCTCACCCTGTTTAAGTCTGCAGCCTAATAATGAACGGTCGTTTTACCTTTTTTTTCCCTGTTTTTTTTTCTTCTGTGTTTTTTTAAATACAAGGGCTAGAATGCACAGATCATATCTATACAATCAAAACAAAATAAAAGATAGAGAGAGAGAGAAAGAGAGAGAAAACATTTACATTTATATATCAAAGGTAAAATAGGTTAGCGACCTGTGGCCATGCATTCACAGTCTAAATATACATGAAAAAGAAAAAAAAAACATTTGTAATAATATGTATATACATTAAAAACAGAACTTTTCAGTGCTACTAGCTAAGTCTGCCACTCAATTCTGAAGACGTCGTATTACCGAGAAAAAAATGGCAACCACAGATTTTTTTTCTTCTTAATCACATATACTTCTTTGTATAAAGGAACAAAAAAAATGTTGAAATGAACTGACCTATGTATTTACAAGAATACTGCTTCTAAATCAGTGTTTTTCAAGTGAAATCTAATCTTGCCCTCCCCTCCCGCCCCTTTCAAAATTAAAAGTTTAATAAAATTTAACAAACAAACGAAAAAAAAGTGTTTTCAGGCCTATGTTTTAAATTTCTTAACGTTTGTATAAGAAATCACATCATGCTTGTCAGGCACTTAATGCTCGAAGTGAATAAAGGGTGATATTTTCAGGGACGCTTTTAATAATACTGCTATTAAAACACTACTCTGGCTAAGACTTGAAAATTGAACGACCCTCGACCTCTTTCACTTTATTTATTTGTGTATGTTTGGGAAAAAAGAAGCTTCCATGTGCGTTTTTTTGGGGGGAAAAAAAAACGCTCCAAATGCGTAAAATACGCCAAATGCTCCAAATGCGTAAAATACGCATTTGGAGCAACTTTTTCCAAATTTCTTTTCTTCATCTCCTCTTAAATAACAACAGACTTTTGGCTACTTGTAGATCCTTTTTATGTAATGTATTTTTTATTTTTTAAATCTAATTTGAGAATTGAAGCCAAACATTTAGAGCTGGATAAACAATGTTTGCCAAATGATTTAAATCTTTTTCAGCGAGCGTCCAAAAATATTTCCAATTGTTATGCAATTTTAATTAAAACATAATAATAATAAAAATCCTGTGACTTCATAAAACGTGTTTCAACTGGGTCATGAAGTTCAACATGAAGTCCAAAACTTCTTTACTCCCCCCCAAAATATTGGTAAATAAGTGCGCTTGCAGCATTAAGCCCAGATCACGTAATAGTATCCTATTGCTGTGGTTTTAATTCCTTTTTAGAACTAATGCGTTTATTCTTTACATTATTTCACCATTTCAAAATAAATCATTGTCTTAAAAAAACACCACCTGTATACTACATAAATCACCGGTTTTTAACCAGAAAGGAGGAACAAAGAAAGTACAAAAACACAGCTAGATACATGGACACAGGACAGAAAAAATCATGTTTCATTTTTTCCCTTTCTTCTTTTTTTTTGTCTTTTTTAATCCAATTTTTTCTATTTTTAAATGCACTTAATACTTAAAATTTCCTCATAAGGATCAACAAAATCCCCTCTCCCTCCCCCTTCTTCTTTTTCCTCTTTTTTTCTCTTTTATTACAAAAAAAGGTGAATTGAAACATGTTGTTCTGCGTGAACACTGTGGGAGCTTGTATTTTAGAAGTTCAGTGGATGTCCTAATTTTTCTATCTTTTTTTTTTTCTGTTGTCCGAGTAAAGAGAAGGTGGTTGTGGTGGCGGTAGGGTGGGAGTGGGGGGATTCACAGTCTTTAATGTCTTTCTTCGTAAAAAGCCAGCCCCGTGTAACAGACGTTTTTTTTTTATTCCTTCCACAAAAGCAGCTATAATCATTGTAGCCCCCCTCCCCGGTTTTCATCAGCCCTCCACCTTTTGTTAAGTCTTTCTTGNTTAACGCTCAGCACGCACACAACAATAGCGCTGCCCAACGGGATCTATTGATTAAGTTGAGACAGAGGATGTCGCATGCACTAAATATTTACTGATCACACACACACTCACACACCTACATACACACCGTCCCCTTATARCTGGGTTCCTAACGATTTTTCCTGTTCTGACTTGGGGGTGTGGGGGTGTTGAAAAAAAAAAAGGACTAAATCGCTTTATTATTGTTGGTAAAACAAAAGGCGCGCACTGTAGGGATGTGCTGATTGCAGTTAAATGAATCGATACAAGGAGACAAATAACAGTTGAGATTTACGGGCATGCAAAACAAAAAGGAAGCTTTCACATCCTGCATGGGGTTAAAGTGTGAAAACCCTTTAAATAACAGATTATAGACACGATTTGAACTAATACTTTATTAAGAACTACGATTGCATTAAAACTAATTGCAGAAATAAAATCAAGTAAAAACTGCTCAGCCGACGGCTCGAGACACCCCTTTGTGTTCAAAGTTAGAACTTGGGGGGGAACAAAGTTGACTTTAATCTTATCTCTGCCGTCACCGAGTCTTCTACGCAGATAGAGGGGATGCTGACCCGGAGGTCTCCAAGTTCCCGGCCCGATTAACCCTTCCAGACCCGCGCTGGAGCAAAGGTTAACCAGACTAATCAACTTCAAGGGTCTCATTGAATTAGATGACTGTTGGAATCAGAGCCCAAACTAGACTGTCCCACTCCAAAACAACCCGACGAGAAACGAGACACTTTTTACAGGTTATAAATTATTAAATCTGCATGTAAAGTTAATAGATTATGTTTTTATTAATAAGTACAAAGTAATAGATGTTTAACTGATTTGAATTGTTTTTACGTGCAAAAATACTTTTTGTGCTTCCTGGTTATGTTTAAGTGCCCAAAAATGTCATGACAGGTTTTATATGTATTTTCAGCTTTTTAAT